AGATCTGCCTGGACAAGGTCCTGTGCAGCCTGCTGTAGGTGACCCTGCCAAGGCAGGGGGGTTGGACTAGATGACCCACAGAGGTCCCTTCCAACCCCTACCATTCTGTGATTCTGTGATTCTGTGATTCTGTGATTCTGTGATTCTGTGATTGGGAGCTTTGTTTTTACTTTCAATGATCTTTCACATTTTTTTCAAGTAATTTTCATTTTATCAACAAAGTGATAATGCCTGAAGTTTTAGGCCTTCAAAGTCTGTAACCTGCCACAGTTATCTCAGCAGGATAAGCTGTGCATGGGGGTCAGTCCTAATGGGACAGCTACAGGCTGGGTTTACCACTGGGTTTTTTTATAACAGCATGGGTGTTGTTCTTGTTCCTGGGTAGCTGTTGATTTCTAAATTTGGTGGGGTCTGGCTCTGCTGCAGTCTGAGCTTGGTGCTCCACTAAAGAGGGGTTTCAGGGGAACTCACAGCTTTAAGGTCTTCCACTCTTTCTAGAGGTTGAGATTGATACAGATTAGAGCAGAAGGAGGTTTTGACTCATACGGGGAAACAGACCAAGCCACAAATAATGTCAGAAGTATTGGTTATTTATTCAAGATTTATATTCTGATTAAAAACAAGACTGAAATGCTCAAGTAATTTTTATCACTGGTAGAGATGTATTCTCCTTGCTCTATACTCAGTAATCAGAGTGTGATACTTATGATATTCATGGCACCGGAAAACAACACAGCCCATTCAAATTAAATATGTGTTGGGTGTTTTGGGTTTTGCTTGGGGGGAGGAGGAGGAATGTTGGGAGAGAACTGTCAATTTTTGAGCGATAGTTATACCTTACCATTAAAGGAGTTGAAGCAGATGACCCTAATTCTCAGAAGGATCTATTCTCTAAGACAGAAGAGGAGAAATTGTCCGTGGCACCTGATTTGGATATATATCAATATAACCATACAAATAGAACTCAGAGACTTCTAACATGTTTAGAATAGACAGATCTATTCTAAAGTTAGTCACACCTACATGAATTAGTAAATCAGAACTGTTAAGAGGTTTTGAAAATTATTGCATAATTATACTTGAAAATAATATATTTTATTATTACTGTGTTGCTTGATGCATAAAATAACAAGTATTTAAGACAAAGTAGAAAAATTTCTTGTTGGGGACAGCTGCAATTGATAGTATAAGTAAAAAATTTTAGAAGTCTTTTTTCAAAATCCTCTTTTGACCAGCTCTACAATGAAGCATAATTTGATTTTACTGTTGCGGAGGATGAATCGGACTCGACACGATGATCAATACGATCAGGTACAAGCCGTTTATTAGCCCCAGATAGCTCACATTTATATTCCCCATTACATACTCGGTGATCTCCCATTGGCAATAATCAAATTAAATCACGTAGCAACCCGATTATGATTGGTGTGCATTACTTGTTCACGCGCTGTGCTCGTGGCCTTTTTGCAGGTGACTGGTTTCGCTTCAGTATCCTGGACTTATTTTCTTTGCATTCATTTCCTTGTTTATACCACCGTTTGTCCTCTGGATGCCCTTGAGGCCTTATGCTAATGCTCTGCGGCCTTATGCTAAGGCTTCAAGGCCTCATAGAGAAAATGCTGGATTGCTCACATGTCCCCATTTCTTTAATGCTTCATCCTCCACAAATCCCCCTTCTTTGTTTAGAGCAATTCAGGCCTGGTTGAAGGCCTTAAGCATCAATTTCTTCATACAGCTTAAAGCACAACCTACAATTCCTAAACACACAATAATTGCTACCAAAATAACAATACCTTGTTTAACTAATTCCCTTATCCATCCCGACAGACCCCAAGAAGACAGACAACTGTCAAACGGTGATGTATTGTACGTAATATGCTCTGTTCTTTCCCGCAAGACAGCTAGCTGTTGGTGAATACTTTGACAATGATCAGACAGATTCATGCAACACATCCCCTCAAACTCTTGGCACCCATGACCTTGC